TGTGTTGCTGATTCCACCATGGAAGCCGAATATGTGGCAGCCTCTGAGGCAGCCAAAGAGGCAATTTGGCTCGGTAACTTCCTGAGAGAGTTGGGTGTGGTTCCTTCAATTCAAGCGCCAATTACGCTTTACTGTGATAATAGTGGTGCGGTTGCAAATTCAAAAGAGCCACGAAGCCATAAGAGGGCAAAGCACATTGAGCGTAATATCATTTAATTCGTGATATAGTGCAGAGAGGGGATGTAGTGGTCACCATGATTGCGTCAGAGAACAACTTGGCAGATCCGTTTACTAAGAGCTTACCACAGAAGACTTTTGATAAGCATGTAGAAGGAATGAGTGTCAAAATTGTAGACGCATGGTTATTAGTCTAAGTGGGAGATTGTTAGAATATACTATAAGCCATGCGTATTGTTATAGTATTCTTTATGAACAATTATTTATTTACTTGTTTAAATTCAATAAAGTTTCATTTTAAATAGATCATGTGTTGGTTTGTGCGTCCATTGCTTACATAGTAGATGATTTAGTGTATAGAGTTTAGCTTATACACGGAAGATTAAATCATCGGTTCTTGTAAGACATAAAAGTTAATGTTCACAATCTAATGATGGAATTGGACAAATCATCGGAATGATTGTAGCACAAGATTAAATATAATTTATCTTGATTATGGGAATGGTTTAATTCCAACTTCTTGTGCTAGTACATTTTGTATGTATTGAACGGATCAAGTAGAGATGAGTATTTTATACTGACTTTATAAAATAATTTCTCTAGTCCATTTAATGTACTTATACTCTTAATCCTGATATAATTATTATTAGCTGTGTATGTCACTTGTTGTTTTGATTTATTAAAAGGCGAGATTCTTTCGCGAGTCAATAAGCCTGGTAAATTGGATAACAATGATATACATTGGCGAAGTAATAATTAGTTGATGGAATCCATGTCTCAATTTTGAGATTGATGATACTCCTTTATGAAAGCTTATAAGTTTTCATGTGTAAACTCGGCCGGTAGATTTTGTATCCGACACATGAAATAAGTTAAGTGTAAGTCTAAAGGAAGTAATCAATAAATTTAATAGTCAGTACTTTAATTTGATTGATTAGTATCTGAATCTTAACATGGGGAGTTAAATAAGGTTTTATGGAAGAATTTCGAAATTGAACTAAGGAGTGCAATTACGAATTTTTAGTGGAATAATTCGTAATTTATTATGATGGAAATTAGTTTCAGAATTTCGAAATTAATATCATAATAGGAAGCCTTGTTAATTAAATTCTGTGGTCCCTACTGTGCCTAAATAATAGAAAATAGTGGAAACTGTTACTTAGTGGGAAAGAAAACGTGGAAACCGTCCCTTAGTGGGAGAAGGAAATCTAACAGGTTTTGAAAACGGTTTTGACCTAAAAAGCGCAGCTATATATATGGATATAAGGGCTGGACGTTTTTTGAGATGATTCTGACTGCGGTTTCTACTAGAATTTTGCCCACCCAAAATTCTCTATTTTCGGTTATTGTTTGGGTAACACAGTAGAAGACTGTGGAAATCTGCTGGTGTGTTTTCAACTGAGGAACTGAAGAACGACATAGATTTGTTGTGTTTACGCTTCAAGAGGTAATCCTAAAATCTCCATACGTGCTAGTTGTTTAGATTACACGTGAATAAGATTCTGTTATTGCTTCCACTGTGGTATATATTTCTACAGCAATAACTACAGATATACAGACTTGATCAAGAAAAGATTTTAAAAAAAGCTAAAGATATTCACAGATCAATGCCATTCATTAGAGTGTAATACAGTTTACGCCTAAGTGAGTTAGCTTTCAGCCTGTACCAAAAGCAGTCACCTGGTTCCGCAGAATAATCAATGAAAATCTAAAGCAATGAGGACTACAAAATTAGCATAACTTTTACAACATAACAAACTTTGATCGGAACATCAAAGGAGGTTGCAGAGACTTGCCATACCGCGAAATAGCATAAGCATAACGAACTTAATACAAATCAGATAACAACTCTGCTGCTATCTCAATTAGTTGACATTTTCGCCAGATTGATTTAGAGTCCCAGAATTGGACTGCAAGCTTTTATTTTGGGCTTATAGAGTTTCCAGAATTCCTTGGATTCATAAGTAAACCAACACCTAAATGGACTATAATCCAAAATGCCAATCTAAGTTTCTGAAGATGCTAAAACTTCAACTGAACTATTAACTATAAATTCAGGGGCCATACATTCCAGCTCCATAAGCTAATTCTGATGTCACTACAAAGTATCGCGTTACCACAGTAAACCCCACAAGTATGTACCTCGGAAACTTCATGCTTTACCTATTGCACCTCCATCACACTTAGATGTTTACTTATTTTTAATCTTGAAAGCTAAAATGCCGGGAGAGCACAATTCCCGCCATAACATCAACTTTTATCATTTCCAGTTCCTCAAGCAGTTCACTGCCAAAATTAACCTCATTACTCCCTCATATCATAAATATATATATAAAAAATGAGCGAATTTAAGAAGAACTGCAGAAGTCGTGGACGAGTGAACACCATTTCTTCGTGTGATTGGAATGAGCTGTGGCCCTACTTAATAATTTCCCCTCCATTATTGAGCTCACCTGATATGAATTTCACTTGAATTGAACGAAAATGATAACCAACAAGCTGATTTTGAGCATTATCAAGCTCAGATGCCGCATCATATTTGCAAAAGAAAAGCATTTTATCATTCTGATCAATACATTATCTTGAACCGAGGAAAGAATACAACTTATTTTGGGACGCTTACTTCACCATAATGCATAATTACAAAGTAATAACCATTTTCCAAATGGAATGTCAACAAGGCAAATTGATTGTACCTTTTTATCATAATTTACAATCTTTGAAAAGAACGTACAGCAACTGACTCCTTCGAAATTAAATTATTCTTCAGAATTCAATCACTAAAATAATAAATTGATTGACCTTTTCTTCCTCTTTTTTTTTTTGACGGGCGGGGATTTTTAGGATGGGTCAATCAAGAAAACCTGTTTGCTGAAAGACAGCGTTACGAACACGCCGCAAGTCCCTGCCTTTTAGCGTCCGCCCAACGCCTTCGAAAACCGAGAACGTCACGTGCGACTGAGCCACCATCACGTGAGGAGGAACCATTACCTGGTCTTCTAGCAGCTCGTCGTCCACCTCATCGAACCGGTCAAATCCACCCAACGGTCCAGTACTCTTCTTCTGCCACAGGGGCACGTTCACCGGAGCCGACTGGTGAAATTTAGGCAGAGAATTGGGATTTGAATTCTCCGAACGAAACACAGGCGGAATCATTTTGGCAGCGGATGCGGCAGAAACGGAAGGATTGAGCGTAGATTTGCGGCGGACGAGGGGGTGGTGATCGTCGGAGAGAGCAGCGGAAAGGCCGGAATTGGAGGATTTGTAGAGTGTTGCGGCGCGTTGAGGGAGGAGGCGCGTAGGGGAAGAGGAGGTGGAAAGGGCAGGGGGAGAAAAAGAGTTAGCAACACTGGAACAATCAGAGGATTCGTACCAGAAAACATCGTTCTCGTCGAACTCTTCGAGCTGGTTGAGGTTGTTGTTAGGGTTGGAGTCGGGTTGTTTGAGGAGACCCATGAAGCTAATGGAGGAAGAAGAAGATGAAGTATTGGTTAGGAGGGAAGGCATGAATGAGTGTTGACTGAGTGTCTCCGTCAATGGTTAGACTGAAATTGAGGAACTGATTTTCTTTTTCATTTTTGTTGCATAGGATGGATTTTTTATTTAATTAAATTAAAATATTTATGGGTGAAAAATGAAGAGAGAATTATAATAGGGGTAGGTAGGTGACAAAAAAAGATAGAAGTTGTTACGGAGGAGATGAGATTGGCGGGGGAACATAATGGGAAAGAAAAGATCTTAAACGACAGTGATTCGGCTTCAGGTGACCACACGTTTATGTCAACAAGGGAAATGATTGCTACCAAATCTTTACTTTCGATATTACATTAAGAATTTTAATTAAATCGTGAAAAAAGAAAATGTTTTCTGCCAAAATTATTTACATTCTCGAAATTCAAATTTAAAATATTTGATTATAGATTAAAGAATTACATTAAAAGGGCATGTACTAAGCTTCTGTTATGCATGAAGTCCGGGGAAGAGTCGGACCATAAAGGTTTGTTATATACAGTCTTACCCTGTATTTCTGCAAAAGGCATTACTAATATACTTTATTTAGTACTATTCTTATATACCCGACCAAACGGTTCCTAAAAGATTTGCAGGACACATAAAACTATATACTTTATAAGTAAACAATTCCTTATACATGCTTATCCATGTAATAAAACTATAGTATTGCTAATGTCATGGTTTGCTATGTATATGAATAATACTGAATATGGTGTATAATTAATTAATACTTATAAGTATTGGTTATACATAGGTTGAAAAATACTACCAAATAAGGGATTAATAATACCAAAGCAAATATATGTATTATTTTCCTAATACATCCTACCAAACAATCCCTTATATTGTTTTCACCTTGCTTTTGCAATCGATTTTTGATATATCGTATACAACAACAACAATATACCCAGTATTATCCTACACCGTGGGATCTGAAGAGGATAATGTGTACGCAGACTGTACCCCTACCTTGTGATGATAGAGAGGTTGTTTCCAATAGATCCTCGGCTCGGGAAAACATACGCACACCTTGCTATTTTGATATATCGTATATTTGTTTGAATAAATCAATAAAACATAATGTGCTATTTTATCATTAAACTTTGACAGAAGATTAAATATTCTCATGTAAGTTAACTCTTAGGTTAAATTATTGTAAAAACAGCACGGGCTAGCCAGTTTTTAGACTTGTCATTCAAAAATAGTCAGCGTTTGCAAAGTCATTGAAAAATAACCACTATTTTGCTGCAATACAAAAAATTTTAGCATAATATATTGGAGATCGGTGCACCTGTGTATGAACTTATAAACATATCATGCTGGAACTCCAACGCGCGAAAAGTTCCAACAGAATATACTAGAGATTGGAGCACCTGTGTATAAACTTTCAGCATATTATGCTGGACCGGTATATTATATTGGAACGCCAGTATATTATACTGGAGTATTGTTCTGAATTTTGAACAGTATTTTCGTTCAGATTTATCTTTACATAAAAAGTTGCTAAATTTCGATTACTTTTGAAACTGTGGCTATTTTTGAATGATCGCTTGCAAATCTGACTATTTTTGAATTTCTCCCCAAATTATTTGGTGGTGCAAAATAGCGGGTGTGTTATAAATATAATTATGGTGGATGTCCATAACCACCAAATGAGTAATACCCACTACTCTTCTCCATCATCTCCATAACTCCCACTACTCTAATACTTATGGAGTTATGGTTGTAACTCTCATACCTTCCTGATGATCTTCCACTATGATCTCAAATGCTTAATGACATATTTATATAATTCTTTTAGTATACCTCCGTGTAGTACTATAAATAGAGGATGAGAAGTCATTTTGTAAGACACTTGAATACATGGAAGACATAAGAATCTTTCCTCGCTTTCTCTCTATATCTCTTAGCTTGTTTTTCTTGTTTTATATTATTACTTTGAGCTAAATTTCTTAACTTGTTATCAGCACGAATTGTTATATTCTTCTTATATTTTTTATAAGAGATGAAAGCCTTCCATGGGAGCTACAACCTTGAATCAATTTGGTTGAACCTGTGAAAATCTGGGCATTTCGTTGCCATATCTATCACGACCTTAGAGCGGACCCGATCCTGATGGCGCCTATCGTGAAACTAGGCCAGCCGACACCCCAAAACCAACTAGACATTTATAATAAGTCATTTAAAGCCATTAATTATCTAAAATCCCATAATATAAGTTAAAATAAATAGTGCGGACATATAACATAGCCCGATATCGGGGTGTCACCAGTCATGAGCAACTACAACTCGTCTAGGAATAAGAAAAGACAACATAGTCTGAAAACAAATGCTAATACAAAGCTGAATAAGATAGGAAGGAGAAACACTGGGCTGTGAACACCAAACAGCTACCTAGTCAACTCCGGAGACCTGCTGGAAGGCTGATCACCACTCGCTATCGCGACCCGAGACTCCTGGATTTGCACATAAGGTGCAGGGGGTAATGTGAGTACGCTAACTCAGTAAGTAATAAAAGTAAATGCAGTTGAGCAGTATGAAAACATGTAAACCACGTTATAACGCTACAACAAAATAGTATAAGTCCAGAACAATGTAGTAGAGCAGTAAGACTCATAAAAACAACTCAGTTTAGTAAAACCTTTTAAAACATCTTTTAATTGTTTCAAACGAGTGATGAAAATATTGAGTAAAAGGATAGAAACGTAAACAATCCCTCGGGTAAAAAATGTACCACAATCGCTCCTCAGGCAAACTGTCAACAGAACCAGCCCCTCGGGCTACCTCACAATCACTCGTAATCAGCCCCTCAGGCAATAACATGAAACAACAATAGCCACTCGGGCAATATCACATCTCACATTGGGTACCCGCGCTCACTAGGGGTGTTCAGACTCTAGAGGGGCTCCTACATCCTAAGCGCTATCACAAGTCATCTCGTGGCATAATAAATCAGGCCCTTAGCCTCTCATATATCATAATAAGTACACATACTGTGGTGCGCAACCCGATTCCGTGATATCCTCACAATACAGGCCCTCAGCCTCACTCAGTCAGAAATCTCTCAAGCCCCTCGGGCAACAGTAAAACATGATGCTCAGCCCAAATATCATTTAGAAATATCAAAACAGAGTAAATACGGTTGATTATGAAAATAGTAGAATACAACATGATTGAGTACAAATATAAAGTCAAAACAGTAAGTAATAGTAGTAAAAAGCCCTAAGGGTCCAAAACAGTTGGCACGAGGCCCAAATATGGCATTCCGCCCAAAACATGGTAATAATTTCCAAAACACAATGATATCAAATGGATTTTAATCAACATGTGACTCAACAGTCGTACGGGACGGACCATGTCACGATCCCCAACGGTGCACGACCCCACGCTCATCATCTAGCGTGTGTGTCACCTCATAGTAGCACAACGATGTGAAATCCGGGGTTTCATACCCTCAGGACAATATTTACAATCATTACTTACCTCAATCCAGTCCAAACTCTAGCCTGCGATGCGTTTACCTCTCGACTCAGCCTCCGGATGCTCCAAATCTAGCCAAAAACATTACCATATCACTAATACGCACTAACGGAACAAAGCCCAAGCGAAAATAACTAATTTACATCAAAAATCCCGAAATTGACCAAACCCGATTATCGGGCCCATGTCTCGGATTTCAATAAAACCATAAAACTAGAATCCTTGCACTCTCACGAGTTCATACATACCAAATACATCAAAATTCGACCACAAACGACCCCTCAAATCCTCAAATCAAAGTCTCGAATTTCAAGCCCTAATCCCCCAATTTTAGGCTTTAGATTCCACAAATTTCACGTCTAATTAGCTATAAATTATCCTAGAATCGAGTATTGAGTTCAAAAATATTACCTCCAAGTGTTTCCTTTAGATTCCCTCTTCAATCCTTCTCAAAAAGCTTCAAAATTGCCCAACAATGGTAGAAGATAGACCAAAAATTGCGAAAATGGATATTTAAACATTTTGCCCAGGTGAAATTTCCTTCTTCGCGAACGCGGTCAAAGCCACAAGTTCGCGAAGCACAAAAATCCATTGACCACTTATTCCTCCTTCGCGAACGAGACATACTGTGGACATGTGATTTTTGACCCTCCCCAAGTTTTTTTATATTTTAGCACGTAAATATTTAATTTAGGCCTATAGCTATTTCAACTCATTTTTACTCTTTTACTTTTATTTTATTACAAGAAAACGAAAATTACAAAAAATAGGCTCATTAATGTTTTGTAGTCATTTTTTATCTTGAAAAATACCAAAAAAATAGTTTTGTTTTAATGGTCAATCTTATTTTAATAATTATTTTTGCTTAAGTAGAGCTAATTAATATTTTTGATAATACTTTTAGTTAATTAAGCTAATTTTAAACATAGCTAGTCATAAAGGCCCAAATTTCTAACCCATTCTTTAAGCTCAATATCCAATACCCTTTAAGCTAATCCTAGGGACCCTTCTAGACTCTTCTTTGGAATAAAAAATAAATAAAAAGACCCTAAAGACTTAACACAAAAAGACGTAGGGATTAATTGGAAAAATACACACAAATACACATTAGACCTAGACTCTACAATAAAGAGGGGATAGGAGTAACGCCTAAAAATCTGGAGAAGGAAGGGACCAAAAAGTTGCGGCTGAACAGAAGACCCCACCCCCTGTCATCGTCTTCTTCAATTCCCCCCCACCCCACGTCGTCTTCTTCACCAGAAGACTTAGGCAGAAGCAGCCGCTGAACAGGCGCAAGAATCACGACCCCTCCCACACCGTACTGCTTTGTCTTCAACCAAACACACAACCCCACCCCGATGGTCTCTTTCCACACTTCAATTCCTCTAACACCCACCTCTGAAAATAGTCACCTCACAGCCACATGCCATGAAACACCAAGCTCTAAGGTATTCTGCTGGGTT